AATATTGATTCAAGTTGCCTCATAAAAATAGTTGCGCTGCGGCTCAAAAGGGTTGCCCCCTACGAACCTCACCCATCTGATACTAGTCTGGCTGGGCGGGTAGCTGGGTTCTGAGGATCCCAACTACCCTCCTCACATTTATACTTCGTATATAGTAACAAATAGCTACTATATAAGGATTGTATAACACCTTCGGTGGAAAAAGCAAGCCCTTCCACCAACGGGGTCATCCCTCCCCCCCAGCCTAAGCCGAGAATTTAAAGCACCCAAAAGTATATCCCAGCCGAAACTGAGCAATTGAGGCCGAGATCTTGAATGGTTTCCAGCATCCCCTGGCACCAGCCCATTGAACCTTCACGCCCCTTGGGGATTATCGCAAGCAGCACGCCTGGGACAGCCCACTGGGGTATGATGCACGCCCAAATAATCCGTCCACAAGCCGGACATTGATTGAAGTCGCCCATAAGAATAGCCAGCCCGCAGCGAAGCGCAAAAGGGTTGCCCTCAAGGCGCCTCCGGCCGATTCAAAGCCCAAACGTCCCCCGGACCATCTCAAGTGTGTTCAGATGCTTGGCATTTATTCGTTCTCAATCCCACATAGATCTGGTTGTTTCGCCTGACTCCATGTTCCCTCATATAGTGTAGGAACATCGTTCGGCTCGATTTTCGCGTCCCGGGGTTAAGGTGGCGGAAAAGAGCTCGGAGGTGCGCTTTTTTGTATAGGAAACCGTGTAGACCTGCGCAGGCTCATACAAACTATAGGCCAGATCTAAAAAATATAGAGTCTAGTAGCTCTGGGGTGAATTCGACTAAGTACAAAAATAAATTCAGAGTCTAGTAGCTTTGGGGTCAATTCGACCAAGTACAAAAAGAAATACAGAGTCTAGTAGCTTTAGCAGAGTCTAGTAGCTTTAGAGTTACTTCGACCAAGTATAAAAATAAATACAGAGTCTAGTAGCTTTAGGGTGAATTCGACTAAGTCCACAAATAAATTCAGAGTCTAGTAGCTTTGGCAGAGTCTAGTAGCTTTAGCAGGGTCTAGTAGCTTTACTAGAGTGTAGTAGCTTTAGAGCGAGTTCGGCTAAGCATATATATAGAAGTATAGTAGAGAAGTTACTATAATGTTCGAATAACTATAGTAGAAATGTCTTAACCTGAACTATTAAATATCAATCTTTTACGTAAGATTATAGCGTACACGCTATAAAGCTCTAAAATTATTCTTTAAAACCTCTAATATTAGACGAGTAACTACTAATTGATACGGGATGCAAGAGATAGCAGAGTAATAGTATATTGTCTAGTACGGATAGACGAATCGTTGCCTGCTTAGCTACGATCCTCTGGAGGTTCTTGGAGATGCGATACTTCTCTCTTCGTAGAGTATCTCCTCGCGTACGATTCGTATGGAATGCGGGAGGTGTGGTTGGCTCGTCGTCTCTGGGTCGCCTCTGGGTCATCGCAGTACCGTGGGATGGCGATGCTGAACCATGTGCTTCGAATTCCGCGCACACAGCGATGAGTTAAAGGGGGGAGTATATAAAGCGCACTGCAGTGTCTTCGTTGCTTCCACAACACTCACACAATCATGCAGCTCACACCCTTCTCCTTCGCGATGGTGATTATCCTCACGATCATCCACCTTAACGTCTACGCTCGCCTAGCCTACCCTCCAACCTCGCGTCTCGCTAGCGAGCTCGTCGCAAGGACACTCGGTGTCTATTGGCAACCTTGCCCATCACGCTTGGCTCGAAGGATGCGAAATACAATTGTGTAGGGATGACTCCAGCAGCTAGAGCCTTCCTTCTAGCTAAGGAATCAGCTATACAAGGCCTGCTCCTTCGCCTTCAACAACACGCCTACGTACCCACTCCGGCAGAGACTGCCTTCATGGGCCAGATCAGCTTCTGTGGCGACGTCGAACGACATGCAAGGACCAATATCATCCTCGCACCTTACCGTCTGCGAGTCCCGATACGGTATGGGGTTTGAGCTGCTCGGGCTTGAGACAGCAGGAACTAGCATGTGGAAGGTGACATCACTTGGCATAGAAACCAGAATTGAGCAATGAATCGTATTTTGGAACGAATTTGACGTATTTGATCGTATGGGGCCGAAGCCGATTCTCTAGATCTACTTATACTCGCGCTAGGTGAGGTCACCTGATCGTCTGGAACACAGGTTCCTGACAATATCCCCCTTCTTAGCTCTGATCCCTTAGGATCAGCCAGAATGGGCGATTCTGGGCCATAGTAGGCCGTAGTACGGTTTGTTTTTGGGAAACGATCGGTTGGCGTGTGGTTAGACTTGGATTGCGTCGTATTGCGAAGATGCCATTTTTCAGACTCACCTTCACCTTCACCTCGCAATGTCCTCGCTCACCGCCAAAATGGGCGATAACAGGGCATTGTAGCAAACACAACTGCCTACGCTAGTGGCCAGCGTCTTGGCGGCATTGTATTGAGATCTTTTGGATTTCTCAACCGTCGTTCCTACAATCACCCGCGACAATCGGGTAAGTACTTCCGATTTTGCTGTTTCCTAATAGAATCCCCAATAGCCTGTTATAGCCTATTTTAGGCCATTATAGGGTATTGTAGGTCGTCGAGGTGTATACCAAGCTAACATGATACCAGTTAACGATCACTAGCACCACATCGACCACCCCGTTTACGTTTGCGTTCTCTTCGACAACTTCGATTCTGCCAACCTTTAAAAGCTACAATTTGGCACATCACTATCTGTAAGACCCTCCCAATTCAACAATTCATGTACTAACTCCTTTATAGCGACTATGGCTACTCTGCTTAACGTCTGGTGGTTCAACGACAACCACAGCTACTACACCCGCCTACAGCTGCACGCCAACCGCCGCCTTATTATTCCCAAGATAACGGTATGTATATCTATCCTACTCTGCTCCCTCTTACCTATATGCTTTACTAACTATATCTATTCTAGCTTATCGCCATGTTTGGCGAACTGCTAGATGTCCCTGCCCAGAACTTGGTCGAGAACGGCGGCGAGATCACTATCAAGAACCACCCCCCTCAATATGAGGTTCAATTCAACGATGTAGGGAAGCTCCGGGATCCCCGTGTCTGGTTTGACGCTCGGGTTCTGAAGGAGATTATAACGTACGTTGTACCTTAACTCTAGTACCTTAAGCTAATATGTAGAAAGTCAGGAATCAGTAGCAGGCCCCTGTGGTTTCGAGTTCTGCGATGACAAGCCGAAGTACCTGCTCGACTGTTGGGGGGTTCTGCCTAGTAATGCCCAAGATAGGCACCAGTGCCTTAACGGACGCATCGAGCAGTGGACTATGGATTTCCAAGTACATCCTGCTGGAGTTCGGGTCTAGAGGAAGAGGCAAGTAAGGGGTAGAGTATGAGCGATCACGCCCCTCTCGATAGACGACCAAGATCGCGAAACCGGCCTTGCTCGTCGACAAAAGTTGTAAGTCTCATCGCACCGGGCTCTGGAGGAGTAGAAGTAGTCCTCGCGAGCAGAAAAAAAACTGCGGGATCCTTTGTTCTTGAGGTGCACGGTATACGGCCGCTGAACGCCCCAGAAGCTTCTCAAAATGGTCGATCGAATGATCCAGCGCGGAAAGTGCGGAAAATCTTACGATCGACTACTTCCATCAAAACGTCCATCGTTTCATCGTCGACCATGCCCACCTGCAAGAATCCCCCAGATCAGGAAGCAACACTGCGAGGATTCGATAGATCGGAAAAGGAAGCTTCAATCGAAGTGGAGCCCATTGTCATTGATCGCGAGAGTTGGTACACCGATCCCACCAAAATCGATGATAACGATATTCACATGATGGGCTAGTGTTTGGATCTTGGAGGCGTCCAAGTAGCCTTTGTGGGTGCTTATGGTCTGGTGTTTGGAGTTTGGCGGCGTTGACGTAGCCTTCGCGGGTGCTCACAGCCTGGTTTTCGGAGTCTGCGTGCGTCCACGTAGCACTCGCGAACCCTCGTGGTCTGGTAAATCGACTCTGCAGGAGTGGAAGTACCTAGGTAGCCTCCGCGGGCTCTCATGGTCTGGCGTCTGAGCTCCGGGAGCCTCGGTGTGGCCGCCACGGTCTCCCACGGACCCAACCTGCAGTTTGATCTGGGTCTCGCGTCCACGCCCCTCTCGATGAACGACCAAGATCGCGAAATCAACGTTCCGTGTATTTCCACATATACACCCGCAGGCGCCGAGCTGAATGAAGACGTGCCTTCCGGTTCTTCGCGAAGCAGCAGCCCCGTCGAGATTACCAGCGAAGATGACGAGCAAGCCTCACAGATAGAACCTTCTTTCCCGATCAATGAGTACAAGTCTCCGCTGAAGAGATGCTTAGTCGAACCAGGGCGGTACAGGGCTTTTCGCACGGGTCTGTACACGTTGTTCGCGATAACGAAACCGAAGGCGCGACAGATACCGTTCGACAAAGTCCTCAGAGTCATCAACAACAACCTTTCAGTCGAGAAGCAGTTCTCTCCTCCACAAGCAAAGCAGGTCCTCCGTGCGCGCGGGTATATCACCGCCAGACGTAGATGTTGTAGACCTCGGGTGTAGTAGAACAGGCCACGTATTCGCCTAGCGTGCCGAACACAAAACAAAGACTACAGCCAACTAGCTTTGGATACATTTGGTGTGCAGGTTCTGGCCACAGTCGTCGCAAAAGATATTTGGCGCACGGTCCAACATTCCTTCAGTGCAGACGGAGCACTCGCCTTCGATAACTTTGCGACGCTGAAGTGAGCTCTGGTCTCCATCTTTCTTCGCTTCGGCGAGGGTGGTACATATGTATCATCCTCCTCCTCGCTATCTGACGTCTCTGCGCCCGGGTCGTAGATGCGGCTCTCGTCGACCGGGTCGTATCGGCGTCCTCTTTCATCAATGTAGGGCGCGTAGGCCACGGCTGGTGGCTTTGTCGTTCTTGATGAACGTGAGGAAGCCATTTAACTGTTGAGGGAAGAATTATAGCGTTTAGGGAGTTAAAAGATTGAAAAGTTGAAGTAGTCCTCGAGAGCCCTTATGGTCTGGTGTTTGGGCTCTCGAGGCGTCCACGTAGCCTTCGCAGTTGCTCATAGCCTCGTGTTTAGGCTCGAGAGGAGTAGAATTAGTCCCTGGACCAACCCCGAGGTACTCGAGCGCCTGTTCATCGCAACACTCGCAAGCTTCGATAACAAAGTACGTCCACCGCACACTACCTACACCCTAATTAAACTGCACATCCACAGCATTATCGACGTTGAGGTAAACATCCGCGAAATCGCCACTCTCTACGGCGGCGAAATGACCTACGACGCTCGCGAGCCCTCATGGCCTAGTGTTTGGATTCGGGAGGCGTCTAAGTAGCCATCGCGGGTGCTCATGGCCTGTTCTTCAGGCTCTAGGGGAGCTGAAGTAGCCTCCGCGAGCCCTCATGGCGTTTTGTTTGTGCTCTCGAGGCGTCTACGTAGCCTTCGCGGGTGCTCATAGCCTGGTTTTGGGCACTAGAGGAGTTGAAGTAGCCTTCGCGGGTGCTCATAGCCTGGTTTTGGGCACTAGAGGAGTTGAAGTAGCCTTCGCGGGTGCTCATGGCCTGGTGCTTAGGCTCTCGAGGCGTTGAAATAGCCCTCGCGAGCCCTCATGGCCTGGTAGTTAAACTCTAGAGGCGTTGAAGTAGCCTTCGTGGGCGCTCATGGGCTAGTGTCTCAGCTCCGGGAGCCTTAGTGTGGCCGTCTCGGTATCCCGTGGACCTAACCTGCAGCTTGATCTTGCCTTCAGGAGCGCGTTGTCCACCAGAGAATTTAAACAAGGATACTGTCCCGCGTCTATCTAAGACTTGGCGTCTTTGACGTAGTCCACAACTACGTCACGAACAAACTGGATAAGGTACTCTTCTTCTTCGATGCCGGCTTGGTTGATGAGACTGGGAAGATCGCAGAAACTTAAAGATGGTGAACCTGGCTGAGTGATGGAGATGCACACAATGTTCGGACTGAACTTTGCCTTTGGGATGTTCTCCAAGTGTGGCAAGACTCGGAAGCATGAATTTGCGGTAGTTAACGAGGGGACTAATAGTGGCCAGTTGTGCGCGGCGAATGATGTGCTCCAGGCTATTAGAATTGTTGGTATCGGCAAAGAAAGCGTCGTTAGGCCTCGCAGGTATCCTTACTTCCACGCTTTGACCCCAATTATGAGAAGTCAGTATTTCTAGGCGTCGGACTATACCCCCTTGATTGCTTACCCGACGGCGAGGGGTTGATACGCTGCGTGCCCTCTTCTTTGGCTTTGAAGACAGAAGGGATGGTATTGGTCTGTTGTCTTCTTCGTCGCCTGAATGCGCATTGTCTTGGAGGTACTCTTGGCGGTTATCGACGGGTTCGTGCATTTGAACACGGTTATCCTCAAACAGCGGCTAGCGCATGACGCCGTTGGGTAACCGTTTCCCTGAGCGTGCAGGATGTGCAGAACGTGGATGCGTCTTCGAGACGACGGCTAGGATTGATATGAGCTAGAAAAGAAGTGTGGTTAGCAGGGACTTGGTGTCGCTGTCGATGTGCTAGTATGGTGCCCACACGATAGCCGACTGCTTCAATGCACATGACTCGATGATTCAGCGCTTGTTTCTACCCAAGTAGATTCAGGTGGCGCCGTTTCTGCACCTACGGGAGATTGATCAATTTGCGCAGTCAAAATTCTCTCCTCTTTAGATGGGTCTTGGACGTTCATTCGCTGTCACTGGGAATATAGATGACTTCGTCATCGCCGTCTTGAACACTGGGGTCGCGAAGTCGTCTGGTGGTCCTGCTGGCTAAAGCGGTTATCCTATCAGTGAAATTGTTGATGCCATCCAGCACTCTATCGAGGAGATTCAAAGACGGAAAGCCGCTTGTATTCCTGCGTCGTGGTTGCATCGACTCTTCCCTAAGGCGCATGGAAGGCGATTAATCGTACGACCAGAAAGGTCCTCTTACTGGGCGGGGCTCCAGTAACAGCAATAAGGCGAGAGGTAAAGCACATCGACCTTCCAGCTCTTATTGCGAACACCCTTTGGCGGAAGGCGATGCGCCTTCATTTCCCATGCGTACGCACCAGGATAATTCAGGCGGTATGCAGCCAAAGCGTCTTCGATATTGTTACTATCCCACCAAACACAGTACCCGGATTGGGCAGCGCCTTGACTTGCACCTCCAGCTCCGCAGACTACGTCTTTGAACACGAGACAGCCCTGCTTCGATGGATGCTGGGTCTTTCGCTTTGGTGGCTCTTGTTGCAAGATCTCGAAGTCAAGAGAGTCGTCGCGTGCATGCCGCTTCTTCACAGAAGTCGCCTGGTTCGCGACAACGTATCCGTCCTCTTCAGTTTCGTCTACCGATATGAAGTCTGGCGAGAATTACCGGGATCTGAAGTTTAAGCTGGTGCCACAGTAGCATCCGCCTCGTGGGTATGTAGATGACAAGCGACGCCTCTATATGGCTTTGTCCTTGTGCTACTTATGTAGAGAATGTTGACGACACGGCAAGTGAGCCTACCACTGTGGAAGATCTGTCGCTTGACTTCGTCCTTACTCGTACTATTCGGCCATGCAGCACAACCGTCAGATCGGAGGCGGAGGAAAGGGTAGGGTTTGTTGGCCAGCGTACAGTCTCGAACTCGAAGACATCTTCGATTTCGATGTCTTCCGTTCCAGCGACAAAAGGTGATGTAGGGTCATCTTCATCAAGACGTAGGACCATGCCCAATTCGTTTGTCTTCCCTTAAGAGAAGTCAGTACATGTCCTCAAGTCTGTCTTTCGGTCGTACTCACACTCGAAGACCTGACCAAGGTACTTTGTACACCTCATGCGCTAACCTCGAAGTCGCACTTCATCCGTCTCCATATTCATGAGTATGTTCTTAATGCGTAGAAAGTCTCCCAAACGCATAGCACCCCCATTTTGGTTTGAGCGATCTTTCAATTCCACTGTGTCGCCTGGTTTGATGACGAAACCTGTGCCGACTTTGAATCTCTGTATTGCAACATCCAGTAGAGATATGTTGTTGCTTGGCGGAGGTTTGTGCGTGCGGGTCTTTTCCCTCGTTTGAGCTCAGAGTGGTTGGTGTAGCAGACGCCTCACGAGAATGAATCGCGATGATGTCAAGATCGGACTCGGAGTCTAAAGGTGAATGTCAATTGATGAGCTTCGACCAACTTGGAAGTAGCGGCGCACCATAGTCAAGCAACTCGATATCGCTCTCATTGTCGTTCCACTTCTCGTCATCTTCGTCGAGTACCATGTAGGGTCGTGTTGACGACGTGTTGTCCGCTGCTGCTGCTTGATGTTAGTGACTATGAAATTTAGAGTAGAAGGCGCGACGATCCACGCGACGTACCTAGCAGTTGCCTTTTGCACGAAGTTGTGACTAGGTGATTGCTGCAATACGCGCGCAAGCAACGATAGCTGGAGATTGATCGCGACTTGCGAGTTGCGAAAGGCAACGAAAACGTAGGGATATTATTGCTGTAGCCGTTATTTAAAACTGCTTGCGTAATAGTTAGCAGTCGAAACTGCGAGACACACTGTGTTGTTATTCTAGCAAAGAGGCCAAAGCGTTAAGGCATCCACGGTAAAGGTAAGTCTGCTAGACGCTAGAAGAGGAATGTAAGCTGTAGGTTAGTGTTATTAAAGATAGCGTAGGCAGCGTAAAGAACTATAATAACAACATAGCAAATAAGCAGCCTCTATAGAAGATCTGTTGCCTAACCTCGTCTGTATTTATACTATTCGGTTATGCAGCACAACTGTTCGATCAGAAGCCGAGAAACAGGTAGCATTTGTTAGTTAGCGTACATTCGCGACCTGTAAGACCTCTTCAATTCTAAAAGACTTATAAACTACTATAGTAGAACTACTGTAAAAACAAAAGTATTATTTCTACAACATAGCATTACTTTTAAAACTAAACAACTAGCACTAACGTAATATGTAAGGATTTCTAGAGATATTATAGACAATATATAGTATAAAAATAGATTATAATCATCTCTTTCTTACTACTATGAAATAGTAAAAACACTGCATAGTATTACTCTATTTCTTTTATAAGTAGAGAACTAGCTTTTCTATCTATAGTAAACGATAAACCGTAATAGTATTTAGTAGAAACTAAGTATTGTTTGCTACTATTTACTGCATTAACCCGTCGACGTTTCCGAGCCCAGCCTCCGAGTTCTTCGCCTGCGAGACGATCGAGTCCTACCTTACCGACCCTGTCCGCACCAACGCCAATCTCATCCACACTTCTTAACCTGACCTGCCGACATTTAGGTGGCTTCTTACCCAGTACAACCTAGCCCAAAGCAGCGGGATCAACTTCGAGGCGCTTACGGCTGTGTTGGCAACCGCAAGCCGCACAAGCTACCCTCCTGGTAACGGTGCGGTATGCGACGGCTGTCTTCGGAGTAGCGCGCGGCTTATAGATGAGTGTCGGAATATCGGCGCTGAGAATCTGCTCGAGGGCCTAGGTCTTGGTGCTCCAACCTGCACAAACTGCTTCGCTGCTGGTGTAGCATGCGAATGGAAAGAGGCGGATGCAGAGGAGGAAGCTGCTTTCTACTAAAGCTAGGGGTTTGACGAAGAGGGAGCTACAAACGAGATAGTTGTTTGGTTGGGCTCGACACGAGATGCTATGTATTAGAGTACAGTCACGACAACTTGCAAGCCTTTCCATCTCGACCTTACTTTACGGTAAGCTATTCTTAAGACTGCTGTAGTAGAGGCAACTAGACGTGCGTAGAGCGCGTTGGGAGCAGAGAAGGCAAGTGGTTTTGTTTACTTTGTATGTACCCAAGAAGAAAGGTCTGTTCGGATTAGACTACCTATCTTGGAGCTAGCTCTAGGTCCACCCCAGGTTTGCATGTAATTATTGCTTCTAGCTCGTCTATTTCAGAAACACTGCGCCATGAGCTTGGTCGTGAGTAGAAACTGCTGCCACCACTAGAATTGCGCCATTGTTGAGGCTCTCTTCTCGTCGTCTGTTTTAATCGAGCTAGCTGTAGTGGTTTAGGCCAAGCCCCTTCTAAGTCTCTATCTAACGCGCTTGGCTGCCTGCCCTCTCCCTGTGAAGAGAATATAGGACCTAGTGACGGCAGCTCGCAGACGGCCCCTTTATCCTCTTGTCTTTTCCTTGTTTCTCTCTCTGTTCCTTGCTCGAGCTCTGTAGGCGTAGCTAGCGTAGTGCTACTCGCAAATTCTGCACCTAAAATACTGTGCGGTGTAGTATAGGACGCGCATTGTGTTGTAACAAGTGGTAGACGAGCTATGTGCTGTTGTGCTGCTGGTGGTCTGTAATCGCTAGTGCCTTTCTCCCAGCGTATTACCCTGCTCGGCTGAGCATAGTCCTTTTCAGGCACAGGTGGACGGGTTTGGTATCGTGCGGCTAGGCGGGTGCGGTGTACCCGTGCCCAGATGTATATGAATGCTAGAAGGGCACACATAAACAAGGCGACTGGTATAGCAACTATCCCAACAATAACCGGGGCAGAGGGGTTTTGGTAAGGATACTGAGTGTTGGTCGGGGCGCTGGTAGTTGGCATTTTGGTGGACGTATCTTTAGCCGTTGTAGAAGCGTCAAATCGCGCAGAGTTGTCGTCTGCTATTAAGAGCGCTTGGTGGGTAGAGGTAGAGAGAGGACGCAAGGCAGTTGGTTACCGCATGCATGTGTCAACATAGTGTGTATTATAGAGCATCTGTAGTATTAAGATAGAGACTGCTTCTAGCGCTACAAGTGGCACAGAAGGCGCATTAGATAGGCGCCAAAATACAGGATGAGGCGCAGTGCATTAGTAGCACTACTAGCACGAATGGTTTTCTTTCTAGTGAGGGCTAGGGTTCGACGCCGTAGGGTTGGTTAGATCTGTGTTCCGTAGCTATGATGCTATAGGGATCGAGGGTTGCAGTGCCATTATACAAGAGTTAGCCAATCACTAGCTATAGTAGGATGTTCGGTTCCTGGCAAGAACCGAGTACCCTAACCCTCTCTACCCTCCCTGGCTCTCCAAACCAAGCGACTCTCCACGCTATGCCTCACAGCGAGCACTTGCACTGCCTCCAGCGTAACCAACTGCAGCAAGGTTCCAAGACGACGCCGCAAGTAGAGTGTAGTCGTGTTTTTAGAGACAGCGCGTAACGAGACCAACGCCGCAATACGCGCTCGGAACATTACTCGCAAAGTTCCCTTACTTCCTGCACGCGCGTACGTATCGGTCGCATAAGCGCGTCCAGCGGTTGCCGCTAATAGTGTGTGGGTTTCAGGATGCTGCGTCTCCCCGCGCCACGCTACCTAGCGCCGGCGTTAATACCACAACGCAGGTACTGCAGCACAGACCACTTGCGGATAAGTACATGACTAGACTTGACAGCCGCACTGCTTCGACTACTACTTGCGACCTTCTCTAGCTTGCTTCTATACTTCGTCTGCATACGCACTCCGTTATTGTTCTGTCACTGCTTTGTTGCTTCGGAAGTCTTGGGTCCTCAATTAAAGCTACCATGGCTGCGCCTAACTTCTCGTCTGGTGCGTGGCTTCGCTACGAGTCCTTTACTATTGTCAAACCACTACTAAGACACATCGCTAGTGGACGATACACTAGGCCTCTACAACTACAGTCCAAACCAGCCTGTTGCCGTTTTTGGTATTCTTAGCTTCGTAGTAGTTGCGGCTGTCCACCTATGGCAGTTCTCGCGAAATTGGCCATGGCATTTCTGGGCCATGAACGCCGGACTAGCAGGCAGGATGCTCATCTCCAGCAACTCTAGTGCGGAACTAACACCCAACCAGTAGAGTGTGTTGGACTTGGAACTCGTGTTGTGTCGATTTCTCAGCCTACAAACCCACACGCATTCTTTACGAGCTATGTTGCTCTTCTGTTAGTACCTCGAAATCTCTAGTGTACGTACCAAAGAGAGCTGACTATGTCTATGTACAACAGGTTAGCGCCTTCCTTTGTCGCGATCGCGTGTTACGCTGCATTTAGTCGGATCATGCGCTGGGCTACACCACCAGAGAGACGTTCAATGCGACTAGTTGGGTATCTTCTACGCTTCCTCGCCCCAACATCTATTCTTCTGGTTCTTGCAGCATCTTTCTTGACCGTGTTAGGCGCCAGTATTACTGCGGTCACCTATCGGAAGCAAAGCTTGTCGGAACAGCTACCCCAGGAAGGCCTTGGTATGCTCAAGGCGGGCCTTATTCTACAGCTAGTAGGGCTTGCTACAGCAAGCAGCCTAGCTGTGTGGTTTATGTTGGTCAGTCGCTGCTGGACTAGTAGCTCGCTACCACCTACAACCTATCGAAGAGTGGAATGGCGCTCGCTAGGCTGGGCTGTTACTGCAGCTATGCTACTTCTCACCGTAAGTCCAAACTGAAAAAGAAAAGAAGAAAACCTCCCACTAGTTATAGTACCTAATAGAGAATGGTTGATAGATTCTTGCTATATACCGCATTGCTGAGCTCTACAGCTCTCTAGGGAGTAGCCTTGGCTATCTTGCTCGGTTCGAGTGGCCGTTCTGGCTCTTTGACACCATCCTAATGTTAGGTATAGCTACACTACTGTATCTCATCGGCCAACCTTTCGCTTACAACTCTCTAGGCATATCCGTTCTACTTGCTATTCTTTACCCTGGGCAAGTTTTACCGTCCGAATTTAGAAGTTTCTACCTTCGGAAGCCGTGATGATACAATGCTATAGAACACAGATAGCTCGGTTATAGTAGAGCTGCAGAAGATTTTCCCTTTGGCTTGTGTAGTTTAACAATCGTGCCGAGGCGGAAGGCGCAAAGCAAAGCTAGCTATAGTGTAGCGTGTAGGGTAAATAATACAGTGCGCCTTAGACATAGACTGCGGTCTGGCTCTGTTTCGGGCTGGTTATTGAGATGGTACTTTGGCATACGGTATCCTAGTTGTACCGGTGAATTGTGGTTGCGTAGGAATAAAGCGTAAGCTACCGATAGCGTATCGGGTTAAAAATTCATAGCAGGCTCACGTTTTCCTAGAGGTGCTTCTCTAGTAAGACAGATCTTGTTGACTAGCGTGTCACCGGTCTTGAGAGAAGCACAAGCATGCTAGCGTTGCGCAAATAATGGGCGTGGACCTTTCCACACTGTGTAGAGTATACTTGCACTGATAATTCTCTAGAATAAGCTCTACTTCCACTCGTCTGTATACGTGTAGACCTTTTCTACTGGTACATCCCTCGTTCTTCTGTTTCTCTGGATCCTTTGCGAGTCGAGGTCAAAGCAGTCTACTGTCTGGATAGTAGTACATAGTGGCCACAAGGTGGCTGTCTCCATATCGCAGAAGGCGCCCTCCGCTATCGAAACAAAATCTGGCCCAAGCGACATCTTGTCAGCGCAAAGCTCTCGCGCGCTATGCCCTTGCATATGGCTAACCGTGAGGCGGTCGGGATGGAGGTTTTTGATACCCCGGACTGTTAGCGCTCTTCGGCCGTGAAGCGTTGATGCTTGTCGTCTTCGAAGCCTGTGGCTGTCCATATTTGTGTGGTCCGGATAGGCGCGCATCTTCCGATCTTGGCCTTGATCTGGTTTCTCTAACGCGCCCGCATTAGAGGGCTTACTTGGGTCGTCAGAGTTCGTTTCTCTTTGGTACTCTAGCGGTGGGTTGAAGAATGGGGGTATAGAGTCAGGTAGGATGTCGGGATGGAATGTCATCCGCGCTGAGTTCTGGCAGAGGCGTCCTTCGTCTTCGTTGTATTGGGCTAGCAATCCTGCCTCGCCGCTAAAATCTCGAATATGAAGGGTTACACCCTTGGCAATAATTCCGTTGTCGTGGTTTGCGTCGAGCCATACACACCGAATTGGTTGGTTGGAATTTCCAACTGTGTACTTGCTGTTGTACCACTGCGCACCGCAAGTGTATCCAACGTCCCCCGTCCAGGCCCACTGAACATTTCCGCCAGAGGCAGCCACAGCGGCAAGACATATACCGTCATTCTCATGCATAACAATCGATATGTACGCCGGGTTTGCAGGAACTCCTCCGTTCTGGTAGTTGTCGAGAGAAAACCCAATAGTCGTCCCTTTCTTGTCACCTACATGGCCGTTCTCATCCCCTTTGTATTGGGTTATCCTGTTCCCCTGTTCGTCCCACACAGCTATGTGAGGCATACTGCCCCCTGCATTTGGATTGCTGCCAACCCCGAGCGAAATCTGCGTTTGCTTGGTGGGATCCGGTTGTTTGGTTTTGAGGTAGGCAAGGGGCAGGAAAGTGGCCACAAGAGCACCGACATTGATTAAAGCGTTCGCCATAGAGGCAGTTGGAGCGTGTTGTTCGTCTGAAAGTTCGGTTTGGGAGAGTAGGAAGGGGAGGGCAAGTGCAGTGAGAGACGATAGACGAGGGTCAGTGTAGATGTAATAACCAGGTAGGTCGACCAGCAAATCTTTGGCGTTTTGTTCTCAATGCCTCCTAGGTGTTATTTCGGGGCAGGATAACTAAGCGCTAGAGAAACCACCTTGTTCTTCACAACAGCTTTGCCGCATGCGAAGCTAGACGCGGCGTAGTAGTCGGCCCTGGCGGCTAAACGCCTGTAGAGACAGCCTCGGCGCGTACAACCTAGTTCCTATTAAGAGAGCAGCACACTAGCCTACCGCGGAACTGTCTGCCTTATTCTGGTTTCACATTAAGCAACGCTGTTGTTGTGTACCCGCCAGGAACCTGTTGTTACCGAGCGCTTCGTGTGGCGTGCAGCAGACGAAAGACCCTATACGCTCGCCCACGCTGTACCCACTTTAAGCGCCGCGTACGCCCCAAGACTTGTGCCCTAGAGGCTAGTTTCTATGGATATGCTCCCGTTTTGTTTGTTGTCTCGCATGTATCGTACTGGCATGCTCGTGGAGAGCCTGTCTGCGGAAGGATCTCGACCTAGAGGGAGTTAGGTACATAACCACCGTCTTAGTACCTAGGTAGCCATTAGAACTGCAACATCAATCTATACGCCAAGACAATCGGCTACTTCTGTTTATTACTACTTCCCATCTCTGAATAACTAGGCAATCTTGCTTGCGTTTAGCTATGCGGCTCTTATGGTTGCAGACGCTGCTCTTAGCAGCTATCATCAGCCTGCCACTAGACGGACTCGCTGCTCCCTGTAAGATACGACACACGCTGTCTTTTCCACACAGACGTACAGGTTGTACTTACACCTTCTAGGCCCGCAGAAGAGATGCCCTACACAAAACCTTGTCACCCGGGGAGCGGAAGCTGGCATTATACCAATTCTCCCTATCCCGAAGCCCATAGTACCCGTCATTCGGCCTTGGCCAATCGCCCCCAAGCCTATTAAGCCCAAACCAATTACCCCTAAGCCCGTGAAGCCAGCGCCGCCGCCCAAGCCCCTCGAGCCTGCGCAACCTAACCCAGGCGCGGGCCCTCGGTGTAAGAGAGCTCCTGGAGACGCTTGTGCGAACATTACTCCCTTCTCCGACGCAGAGCTCGAGGGAGCCCGCCTAAAGGGACGAGACGCTCAGGCTACATTGTTAGCAACACAAAGAGCAACCCCTGCACGCCAAGATGTTGAACGAACGGCCGTATCTACAAAGTACAATCACCAAGATGAAAAAGATCAGAAGCCTCCAATGGATGAAGAAGAAATAGAATTTCTCGGTCAGAGTCAACTGCAGGTATCCTATACCTCCGATCCTGTTTGGACCCAGGCTACAACCCGCAATCAAGTAGGGGTAAATCCCAAATTAGACAACATCATCTTGGACACTTCTACGAGCTCCAAGGATAGAGGGATCGTAATAAGCGATAGCAGAAACAAAGAAAATGATCTAGCGGCGGGAGAAGATAAGGTGCCATGGTCAGACATGGTTATGTTCGATCTTACGCGAGCGTTTAGAGACGCCGAGATGAAGCCTAGTGAGCTGCAATACATGATTCGGAGCAACATCATGTCTGGTTCGAGCGCTTCCAAGACGCAGGGCTATATTGAAGAGGCTATCAAGCGGATCAAGGGCAATCGTAGTAGGGTCAACACGTTCCGGAGCGATCCAGCAGCGCCTGGTATACTTCCGGACGAAGTGGCGGCTTATCAACTTCTAGCAGGATCAGATCACGTTCATCGAGTTCTTCTTATGCTCAACGACTATCCTAGCACTATGAAGAACGTTAGAGTGGAATCGCTAAGTGTAACTACACCAGCTACTGAAGGCGCCGAGGAAGTTTATAACATCGTTATTAAGTTTACTAAGCTTGATGCGCCATAGGGGCAGTAGAAGAACAGGACGCCTAGTTAGCAGACACGATACTATTACCTAGCTAACGTGGGCCCCCCTGGACCTACTACATCAATACAGTGCCACTGTACGCGCCGGTTAGCCTATTCTAAAATTAGACCGCTACTCGTAGCCAATGAACAGTCTTCGCTAAGCGCGCTTCTTCCGCAATGCAACGTTATAAAAGGGCTACCCATTCCGGTTCAAAGGGTTACTAGACCGGCTACCCACTTGTTCCGTCTTCTCTTGCTAGCAAGTAGCCATTCTGTTCGCGATATCAACTGTTCCACACACTATGCATCTACTCGATTTGCCAGTAGAGCTTTTGCACGAAATCCTTGGTTGGGCTATTTCAGTCCGGGGAATCAAGCGCGGCCTCCGGTTACGGCTTGTGAATAGTAGGTTTTGCTCTGCCGACTGTGTTATGTTCTGCTTACCAACGGCTATAGAAATCTTTGCTAGCGAGATTGTGGCCGCGCTTTCGCTATTCAAGCTTCTTGACACCTACTTCAAGCGCCTGCCCATTGGCAGCGACGAGGCTGTACCTTCTATTGCTACAACCTATCTTGGACGCCGAGTATTGAGCGAGCGTCGCGGTGGGGCTCCTGTGCTACTCTGGATTCGCAGCGTCGCCAACCGACTAAGCCAAGAGACGGATGACGAACGAAACGAGTATGACTACGTTCGGCAGCTATGCCCTCTTGTGTTGAAAGAGTGTAGCGTACGCCTTGACAAGCTATGGACGGTGGACCAAGCCGTGGGATGGTGCGACGGGCTTTTCAACGAGAGCAACTTGGAAACTGATGTCTATATCACTGCGGTATATACACAGACGCTCCCTGTTGTTTCTAGAAGGATCTCGAGCAGAAAAGGGTTAGCGACGAGCAGTCTCCTCTTTGGTGATGCACGTCTCCATGCTGGTCAGTACGGTAACCAGGAGCTCCTTGCCGCTATGATGGACCTACGGTACGAGAGCGACTTTCAAAGACGGCGAACTTCCTTTTTAGTCAAAGCTGCCGAGTATGGACGAGTAGGCGTAACGCGGTTTGTGTTGGATTTCCAGGCCGTAGAGCGTCCGTGGTTGTTTTCAAGAAAGATTAAACGGCCGTCGTATCTCTCTTGTAACGAAAGAGAGCTAGCTTGGCTGAACACACCTAGCCGGGAAATTTTTGACCTGGTGATGGAGAAACGAAGGGAGCACTGCGTTAGCCGAACGTTTGGCGTTACGGAATACACAGGATTCTTGGCGTATAGCGCAAGACATGGATGGGTAGCGATGACGGAGCACTATCTTGCTCTTGGAGCGCGTGTAGACGGCCTAGGATTGTGTAGCGAGTATAGGCAACGACCGCTTCTAGGCGCTTGTAGAAACGGGCACAAGGAGGTAGTTGAGGTGTTGCTACGACATGGTGCGAGCGTGTGTAAGCCAGCGTTGGAGACCGCGGTAGGACATGGACATTTTGAAGTTGCTTCTCTGCTTCTAGCGTACAACGCAGAGGTAGGGAGTGCACTTGCGGTAGCGGTTTGCAAGGGGTACAGACGTATTGTTCGTAGGCTACTAGAGCGTGGAAGCTACGACAAAGGATTGTTGCAAGGCTTGCTTGATCGAGCGGTTGAGATAGAGGACGAGGGTATGTTAGAAGATCTGCTCGCGTATTGTAGTGTTGCTAAGTATTCTATAGTCTAGCAATGTGTTTACGTAGTACATGTAAATAAAATAAGCATGTGCTAACTCTTTTTCTAGTTATTTTATGTTGTTAAAGTAATTACCGCTTGTATATAATTAGGGTTCGCATAGACACGATTAGTACTTACGTTAGAATTATTTTAATTACTAGCTAGAACTTAACTCTATTATTATTAAGCTACGTGTTAACTTTTAACTCCTGGTATTTAACTGTCTGCTAAGCCTAACCAATACGAGGCCGGGTGTGAGGCCTCACATTCGCTTAAAGTGGCTTAGCGCTAGAGTTTCCCACTTTTCGTGAGGAAATTCTGACCCCTA